AGCAACTCACCTCTTGAAAAAGCGGTCGAAAAAGGGCGATTTTGAAGAAAAATCGGCTTCATCAAGCCGAAAAACAGCTGATCGCCGCGCCAGCTGTCAATGGGCAGGCGGCAGAGTCCTATGCGGCGCGTGTTGAGCGCGCACGGAGTGAAAGGACGCAGGGTAGCTGTCCCGCGCCGCCGACGGTTTGCTACTCGTGACGCGGTCGCTGGTGCACCCGCGTCTGCGGTCCTTCGACCGCCCTAATCAGGTGGAAGGATGACGAGATTGAGTGCAGCGAAAATTCGCCTGTCACGGAAGATTACAAAAATAACTTTTTTGATGCATCAGGTATGTTTTGTGATGTACTGAAATTTCCTTAAATCCTTTCTAGTTTGAGAAAGATTTTTGGTGGAACAATTGAAAAACATATGAGAACTTTTTATGGATTGAACGAGCAGAGCTCCTTCAGTATGCTCTAGTTTTCGACAACAAGAAATCAGATGGAAAGCAGATTATCCCCGTTTTTCAACAAGTTTTTTAGAGTAGCTTGCTCATGATCAGTTAATCTCTAGTTGGTGCATGCGTTCGATTTCTACGATGAGAAATAGAAGGTGCAGCTTCCACATAACACAGCATTTTGAAGATGATTCGATTCCGTGTTTCAGAAAAGTTCATAACAATGATCTATTGGCTGTTCTTCAGCGTTGGGTGGGCCCCTGTTTCAATCACACGAACCCCTTCCCCAACGAGTTGCTCCCAACGACTGTGCACTGACTGCCCCCTTGCGTACGAATTACGGGTTCATAAACTGAGGGAATAGGAAAAAGTCATAGTTGAACGTTCTTTGTTACAATGAGTAACTTTCGTCACGAGATCCAGTGAAAATGTCACCAAGGCTTTGTGGAGAGTGAAAAGGAGCGTGTCAGTGAGAAGGGCACTGTTCTAGGCTTGACTTCTCCCATACTGCAAGCAAGGGCTTTGAAGAAAAAAAAGTGAAATACTAACCGAAGTGAATCCATAAAATGCAGAAATATAGTGATCTTCAGTACATCTTGACACTTGGAACACGTGTTCGAGACCGAAGAACAGCGCTCCAGATACATCCACTGCTGACACAAGCGCATCGCAGAGCACCGTAGGAAG